TGGCGGCAGCGGACCAGGACTCGGGTCCAGCGGGGGTCTCGGCGGTGGCGGGGAGCTGCACCCGCGCACCGGTCGCTTGGTAAGCCTGTCGGCCTGTGGGCGCACAGCGCGGCGGCAGCAGCCGGGCCAAGAATTTAACCACGGGTTGGTGCTGAGCCGAGAACCCTTGCGCGATGGACGCGTCTTCACTGTCCGCATCGACCGCAAGGTGCGAAGCTGGGGCCGCGGAATCGTGGTGGCGGGGTGTGGGGTCGGGTGGGAGAAGGAGAAGAGGTAGAACTGCCAGAAAGTCAGTATGTCCAACCAAGTCTGCAGGTACCGACAGCCAACCGGCAGCCTGCAGTGCACCAGAGAACAGGAAGGAAAAGAGCATGGAGCAGACAGACATTCATTCTGGAGAATGAGTTTCCTCAGGGCCCAGTTACTAGAATGGCTAGTGACAGATGTAGGGCAATCTCTTGGGGATGGAAGATAGACAGGTGCCTGAGATGTGATGGAGAGAATAGAGAAATAGTAAAAAGCACAAACCATTGAAGGACGGAAGCCCAATGCCAGATGAGGACACATGGGAAAGGGAGGTGTGTATGGCTTGCTTGGTCCAAAGAAAGACTTTGGGAAGAGGATGAGCCCGGGTGGAGCTCTGCCTTACCAAGGACAGGGGCTGGAATTGAGAGGGATTTAGGAGAGCAAAATATATGGATCTAGGAATCGTGTGGCTGCGGTGGTTGAGGAGCCACAGAGACTAGGGAAGTCAAGGGTTGAAACCAGGGTTTTTAACCAGCTTGCTCAGCGGGAAAAGGACTGCTGTGTTCAACACTGGGCAGCTAGATACAGCACACGGTTGCTAAGGGAGATCAGGTCCAGATAGTTATGAAGCAGGGTCCAAAGAGTTGTGACTCTATGTCTGTTGTCTCAGAGGTCAGGGTGAGAGGGGCGCTCTTGTGCAGAACACAGTTTCTGGTGGTGGGATTCCATACTGAAATTCTGCCTCTCTCTCGTAGGTCAACTCCTGGAGTGGCTCCATTGAAATTGGAGTGACAGCCCTGGATCCCAGTGTGCTGGACTTCCCGAGCAGTGCCACTGGGCTGAAGGGGGGCTCCTGGGTAGTGTCAGGCTGCTCGGTGCTAAGGGATGGGCGCTCTGTGTTGGAGGAGTATGGCCAGGACCTGGACCAGCTCGTCGAAGGGGACCGCGTGGGTGTGGAACGCACAGCCACTGGGGAGCTCCGGCTCTGGGTGAATGGGCGGGATTGTGGTGTGGCTGCCACTGGCCTGCCTGCTCGTGTCTGGGCTGTCGTGGACCTTTATGGCAAGTGCACCCAGATCACTGTGCTGCCCCCAGAGCCAGGCTTCAGCCCTCCTACTCCTGTCCCTACACCTCCCCTGGAGCCCTTAGCCCCTCCAGAAGACTCTGCCTTGTCGGAACAGGGGACCTCCGTGGATGAAGGTGAGAACACAGCTTGGGGGATGCATGAGGTATGACTGAAGAAATGGGGCAGAAACAGTTAGTCACAAGTTGGCTGGAGGAGGGGCAGGGCTAGGGGTTAGAAGAGATGATTTCCCGACTGTGGGCCCTGAAGCAAAGGCTGAACCCTTATTCCCCTCCCATCCCACCTGGTCCCTAGCCTTCATGGTGTCCCCAGCGCAGGCCCGGCCGGAGACGTTTCCTAACAGCCTTGATTCGCATAATGGTGAGGGGAGGGCTTGGGGAAGCCCTGGGAAGGGGTGTGGGTAGTGAGGTGAATAAGGGTGGGACTTGAAGAGATGGGTAGGGAGAAGATGATCCCAAGCTAACTAGAGAGGGTAGAGCCTCACCTTGGCTTCCTTTCTCCATCTTGCTGCTATAGACTTTGCCAGCATGGAGCTCTCCGAGGTGGTGAGCAATGCCATTCTGTCTGCCTACAATGGAGGCCTCCTTAATGTGAACCTGAGCTCCCCACCAGCAGGGGATGGATTACCATCCAGCGGGCCTGCCACTTCTCCTGTCCTCACTTCCAACGATGCCCTGCTCTTTCACGAGAAGTGTGGAACCCTCATCAAACTCAGCAACAATAATAAGACGGCTGAGCGCCGGAGGCCCCTAGATGAATTCAACAATGGGGTTGTCATGACCAACCGCCCCCTTCGGGATAACGAGATGTTTGAGGTCTGTGAAATCCTGAAGTCTGGCCAAGCTTCCTGACAGAGATTGGGAGCTAAATGTTGGATTGATCCTTGATGTCAGGATGGTTGTGACTGGTGAGGAACCAAGGGTTCAAGGGTCTATCTTCTGTTCTTACATTTTCTGCTCCTGTCTACTCTCATTCAACCCCAGATCCGTATTGACAAGCTTGTAGACAAGTGGTCAGGCTCCATCGAGATTGGTGTTACTACCCATAATCCCAACAGCCTGGAGTACCCAGCCACCATGACCAACCTCCAGTCAGGTACCCGCTGTGGGGAGGGACACGGGTTGTGGGCTGATGAGCGCAAGACCACCTGTTCCTTAACTGGGTGTCTGTTTTTACCAGGTACCATCATGATGAGTGGCTGTGGGATCCTGACCAATGGCAAGGGTACTCGCCGGGAGTACTGTGAATTCAGTCTGGACGAACTGCAGGTGAATGTAGAGCACAGTAGCTAGGGCCAGGCCAGGGAAGCCAAGGCACCAGGCAGTGTTAACTAAGAGGAAGTCTCTTTCTCTCTGCGCGAGGCTTCTGAGAAGGCAGGGATGTCTAACGGGATCTAAAATATGATTATTAGTAGCACTTTTGTTCCCAATTAGTGCTGAGAATGGGACTCAGGATCTTGGACATGTTTGGCAAGTGCCTACCACTGGGTTGTACCTCTAGCCCCTGTAGCTCTTAAATAGACTGAGATTGTAGAGCGTCAGGGGAGATTATTTTTAATGTGGTTTGACTCAGTATCTTCTTTATATTGGGCCTTTGGGAAATGTGTCTGGAAAGCAGGAACCCAGGCCCTGCCCGAGAGTGGTCTTATGTGGATTTCTTCAGTAGGTGGTCTCCTGTGGAATGGGGTGGTAGAAAGTGTCCAGGACTTCTGGAACCTGAGCCTGAGTGTAGCTGGATTCCAGACTAGGGTCTTTCTTCTTTGGCTAGGAGGGTGACCATATTGGCCTCACAAGGAAGTCCAACTCTGCCCTGCACTTCTTCATTAATGGCATTGATCAGGGTAAGGTGAAATACAAGAGAGACTACTGGCCAGGCCGTCAGTGGGTCTGCCTTACCCTTCTCTGTGACGCTCGCTCTTCTCACACTTGACTCTTTGTTTCTCTCCTCCAGGCGTAGCTACCCCATTGACACCACCAGTGGTGTATGGTGTGGTGGACTTGTATGGGATGGCTGTGAAAGTCACCATCGTCCATAATAATAACCACAGTGACCGACTCCGCCGGAACAATGCCATCCTGAGGGCTCTGTCTCCGGAGGGTGCTCTCCGCCGTGCTGCTCCTGCTGCCCAGGCAGAACCTGAACGCCTACTCTTCCATCCAAACTGTGGACAGAAGGCAGCCATCACCCACGAGGGACGCACTGCCCTGAGGCCCCAGTATGACCTGTGGGGTGGTATGAGACCTGCCAAGGGGGCCCAAATAGGGTGTGGGAGCAGTGAGGTGGGAACATGGGAGGCAGAGTGTGTCTGGTGTGGGAGTTCCTGGACAGAAAGATGGAGACTTCCAGGTGCAGGAGGTCTGATTGGTGTCCTAGGACAGTGGGTGCTGGACACTTACTGCCGGCTTGAGTGAGTGTGTCGATCTTCTGAGTCCTGACTTGCTGTGCCCTCAGTGCCACTGATGACTTCAATCATGGCGTGGTGCTGAGCAGCAGAGCCCTCCGTGACGGAGAGGTGTTCCAGGTGCGCATTGACAAGATGGTGGACAAATGGGCTGGCTCCATTGAGATTGGTGTCACTACCCACAACCCTGCCTACCTCCAGTTGCCCTCTACTATGACCAATTTACGCTCTGGTGAGATCCTAAGAAGGGCAGGGCTGCTTTAGGGTCCAGGGAAGAAGCTGCTGCAGGGTTCTGGATCCTGCCTTGTTCTTCATCTTCTGTTACTTCTGTCCCTGCAGGGACCTGGATGATGACGGGGAATGGGGTAATGCATAATGGGACAACCATCCTAGATGAATATGGACACAACTTGGATCGCCTCAAGGTGAGAGAATAGGGGGTACTGATGGGTCTAATGTTGGGGACATCATTGAGGTAGGGTGGATGCAGGACCATCTCAAGCAGGAACTCTGCCTGACTCCTCACTCTAGCCCCCACTTCTTCCAAGGCAGGGGACACAGTGGGCGTGGTGCGGCGGGAGGATGGAACCCTCCACTTCTTTGTCAATGGAATGACTCAGGGCCCTGCTGCCTGGAATGTACCCCCGGGTGTCTATGCTGTCGTCGATCTCTATGGCCAGGCTGCTCAGGCCACTATTGTGGATGACGTGGGTGAGGGCCCGACGGCTGGGATGAAGGATTAGGGTGGCCTTGGGAATCATTACAAACACTTATAGAGACTTAATGGGTGATGCCTATTGCAGAGGTGCCTCCAGTCTCTGAGCCACTCCCTGAAGGGAACAACCAGATGTCTCCAAGTTCCCCATCCTCAGCAGCTGGGGGCTCTGACCTGCGCTTCCACCAGCTGCATGGCAGTAATGCAGTCATCACTAATGGGGGTCGAACTGCTCTTCGTCATAACTGCCGAAGCGAGTTCAATGATGCCATTGTCATTTCCAACCGGTCAGTCTCTAGACTTTCATATCTCCACAGTCCCACTGCCCACTTTGGCCTTAGTGACCCCCACTCTCCCTGACAGAGCCCTGCGGGATGGAGAACTGTTTGAAATTGTCATTCAGAAGATGGTAGACCGCTGGTCAGGCTCCATTGAAGCTGGTGAGGGACCATCTGTGAGGGGGTGGAGGGTAGTGGGTGCCCGTGTCCTGGGAATCATTTCTTACCTTCTGCTTCCTCTCAGGAGTGACTGCCATCCGGCCTGAAGACCTGGAGTTTCCCAACACCATGACAGACATTGACTATGATACATGGATGCTGAGGTTGGGCTGTCTGCCTTTGAATCCCCCTTGGTAGGGATGGGTAGAGCTAGATGGTACCAGAAAACTAAGCATGGGGGCTGGAGAGATGGCTCAGAGGTTAAGAGCATTGCCTGCTCTTCCAAAGGTCCTGAGTTCAATTCCCAGCAACCATATGGTGGCTCACAACCATCTGTAATGAGGTCTGGTGCCCTCTTCTGGCCATAGAAGGAATGCTGTATACATAATAAAAATAAATAAATTAAAAAAAGATTTAAAAAAAAAAAAGAAAACTAAGCATGGTTTGGATCTGTGGAACTGTGGCCATAATCACTGACACACTGGGGATCTAATAGCCCTCCTGCTCAGTTCTGGGAATTCCTACCCACGCAGCCTACAGAGCAGTTCCTGCTTTTCCCTAGGAGATTCCAGGGACAAAGAAGACAAGACTGGGCCTCAGACTAAGATCAGGTCCCTGTATATGATGTCCAAAGCAGTGTGTGGTCCTGACAGGCAGAGACTAAGTATGGGCCAATATAGTGGTAAGGCAGGGAGGCTAACTCACCTTCTTCTGTCCTCGCAGTGGTACAGCTATCATGCAAGACGGTAATACGATGCGCAACAACTATGGCTGTGATCTGGATGCCCTGGGCACAGGTGCACGCATTGGCATGATGCGAACTGCCAAGGGTGATCTGCACTACTTCATTAACGGACAGGACCAAGGCGCCGCCTGCTCAGGCTTGCCTCCGGGTAAAGGTGACTACTCTGTGCTTTGCCTGCCACCCTTTGCTCAGCTCACTCAGGACCTCAGACTTCTGATGCCTTTCTTTCCTGCACAGAGGTGTATGCAGTGGTGGATCTCTATGGCCAGTGTGTTCAGGTGTCTATCACCAATGCCACCGGTCCCATGGACAACAGTCTGGCGACCAGCAACACTGCCACCGAGAAGTCCTTCCCTCTGCATTCCCCAGGTACCCGTTATGTGGCCTAAGAACCCTGTTTAAGGAAGGAGAAAGCCCTCTGGCAAGTAGTGTGTATGTAGGTTATTAAACTGAGACACAGAGTCATATGATTTCCCTGACTTGCAGAGACCAAGATACCGTGCACTGGGCATTTTGTGTCTTACTGTGGTGAAAGGTGTCCAGAGTTCTTGATGTGGCAGATGGGGCCTTAGCTTTTTATGTGAAAGCTTTAACCTACATCCCATCTGAAGGTAATTTCCCTAACCCTAACCCTTTATCCAAACATCTACCCACAGTGGCAGGTGTAGCTCACCGATTCCATAACACATGTGGCAAGAACGTCACTCTGGAGGAGGATGGCACACGGGCAGTACGTGTGGCTGGCTATGCTCACGGCCTCGTTTTCAGCACCAAGGAGCTCAAGGCTGAAGAAGTCTTTGAGGTGGGCTTGTGGAGAAGTGGAGTGGGTTTACCAGGCCATCAAACAGGACCAGCTAATGGGCTCATCCTTTCTCACAGGTAAAAGTGGAAGAGCTAGATGAGAAGTGGGCAGGATCCCTCCGGCTGGGACTGACCACACTAGCCCCCGAGGAGATGGGGCCTGGAGCAGGCAGTGGGCCGGGGCTGCCTCCCTCCTTGCCAGAACTCCGGACAAAGAGCACCTGGATGGTGTCCAGCTGTGAAGTGAGGCGAGATGGGCATCTCCAAAGGATGAACTATGGCCGCAACCTCGAGAGGCTAGGGGTGAAACACCTGGCACTAAGGCAGGCGGGGGGAAGGGAGTTGTGAGTAGGATTAGAAGAAAGTTGGCTGAGCAGCTGTCTTTGTCCCACCTTGGATCTAGGTGGGGAGCCGTGTGGGCATTCGTCGGGGTGCAGATGACACGATGCACATACTGGTGGATGGAGAAGATATGGGGCCTGCGGCCACTGGCATTGCCAAGGTAAGTCTAAGAGCTTGTTTGGTTTTGGGGAGTGGGTTGTTGGTTGAAGGTCTTGTGCTGGCTTCTAACTTCCTTGGTCTTGCATTCCCAGAATGTGTGGGCTGTGTTGGATCTGTACGGGCCAGTACGCAGTGTGTCCATTGTCAGCTCCACAAGGCTGGAGGAACCAGAAGGCACCCAGCCACCCTCTCCCAGCTCAGACACTGGCAGTGAGGGCGAGGAAGATGATGAGGGCGAGGAGCGTGGGCTGAGAGTAAGAGGCTGCCATGGTACCTGCTGGGTTGGTGGGCCACTAGTTACCAGAGTAGAGCTTCTCTGCTGGTCCAGCAGACTCAGGCTTGAGCTCTGTGCACTCCAGTGTGCTGGGTGAGAACTGTAATTGGTGTCTTGTGCAGCTCAGTCTCTTGCTCCATACCAGGGCCAGGATCAAGTGGGTATTATGCCCACAGCCCTTGAATTCCTGGAGAACCATGGGAAGAATATCCTCTTATCCAACGGGAACCGTACAGCCACACGAGTGGCCAGCTACAATCAAGGCATCGTTGTCATCAACCAGCCCCTGGTACCCCACCTGCTTGTTCAGGTATGTCTTTCTTCTTACCTAGCTCCTGTTGCTTCAGGGTGAGGGGCCCTTTTTTTGTTTTGTTTTGTCCTATTTTTGTTTTCTTAAACAAGGTTTCTTTGTGTAGCCCTGGCTGTCCTGGAAGACCAGGCTGTAGACCAGCTGGCCTCAAACACACAGAGATCTGCCTGCTTCTGCCTCCCAAGTGATAGGAATAAAGGTGTACACCACCACTGCCCAGCATTAGGGGCCCTTTCTGCTGTAGACTAAAAGACAGGTAGAGAGTGAGCCAGTTGAAAGAATTGTCTAGGAACAGACCAGAGTTCAAGAGAAAGAATGTTGGATGTGCAGTTCATTGTAGAACATTTATTTAACATATATAAGGACCTGGATTCAGTTTCCGGCAGCAGGATAAACAGGGAAGGAGACACATCTGAGTTGGTAGTTTCTGTTCTCTACAAACATCAGAAAGGGTGCTGTGCCAGGCAGCCATACTCTGGTTTGGGTGCTAAGACTGATTTAGCTAGGCAGGTGGCTTCTGTCCTGGAAGCTGTGAGTATGTAGTTCCTTCTCATGCAGGTGCGAATTGACTTCCTGAACCGACAGTGGACATCTTCTCTTGTTCTGGGAGTCATCACCTGCCCACCTGAGAGGCTTAACTTCCCTGCCTCTGCTTGTGCACTTAAGCGGGCAGCCTGGCTCCTGCGGGGCCGTGGTGTCTTCCACAATGGTCTAAAGGTGAGGAGGGAGCCAGGAAGACTGGAATGACCAAGCCTCTGAATGGAGAGGAGCTGGCCAAAAGGGAGACGTACATGTCATTACCTGGACAGTCTTTGGCCTTTTTATTGCTTCCTCCTGTGCCCCAGCCATTGAGAATGTTAAAGTTGGAAGTGAAAAGGGGGACTCTAGGTAAATGAAATGGGAGTAGAGCCTAATCATGGATCCAGGCAAAGCTCAGGGACTGGCAATTAGAAACACTGACACCGTAGGGTGGCTACTGGTATGGTGGGCCTGATGTCTGAAGACAGTAGTCCTTTACTCTTAGATCTGTGAGAAGTTCGGGCCAAATCTTGATACGTGCCCTGAAGGCACCATCCTGGGGCTGCGGCTAGACTGCTCTGGAGGGCTCCATCTCCACATCAATGGGGTGGACCAGGGGGTAGCTGTGCCAGATGTGCCCCAGCCGTGCCATGCACTTGTGGACCTCTATGGACAGTGTGAGCAGGTTAGTGGCTATAGAGATGAGGTAAGGGGAGTCCTGGGATACTGGGAAGCTTCTGGCCCACAAAGGGGATCTGGGGACCTGACAAGCTGTGGCTTACTCTCTTCCACAGGTGACAATTGTGAGCCCTGACCCAGGGGCGGCCAGTGGGAAGATTGCTGGAACCCAGGGAGACATGGAAAAAGCTGATATGGTAGATGGTGCGTTAGCCCAAAGGGATAATTATGCTGCCCCTGCTTGTCTGTCCGTCCATGTCCTAGCCAGTACTTCCCCAGCCCAGCTCCTATAACTTTTCTCTCCCCTGCTATTCCAGGTATAAAGGAAAGTGTGTGCTGGGGTCCACCACCTGCTGCTAGCCCTTTAAAGAGCTGCGAGTACCATGCCCTTTGCTCCCGCTTCCAGGAACTGCTGTTGCTTCCAGGTGAGTCCTAATCCTCAGAGCCTCAGTCCCATGGCTGGACACCAGCTGGAGAGCAAGAGTGTGGTTGAGGTCCAGGACAGGAGCACCAAGCCTGTTGTTCATTGTCCCACAGAAGATTATTTCATGCCTCCACCAAAGCGTAGCTTATGCTACTGTGAATCTTGCCGAAAGTTGCGAGGAGATGAGGCTCACAGGCGCCGAGGAGAGCCTCCCCGGGAATATGCCCTGCCTTTTGGATGGTGCAGGTTCAATCTTAGGTACGTATGAGTCAGAGGCATGGATTTTCCCCTTTGCTCTTTTCCCTGAGAAAGGAGAATCCCAGGAAGGAAAAAGTGATAGGACTTCTTGTATGTGGAATGATCTTAAGGAGCCACTGACCTTTGACTTGTCTGTTTTATCTGTCCTTTCAGGGTGAATCCCCATCTAGAAGCTGGGACACTAACAAAGAAGTGGCACATGGCATATCATGGAAGCAGTGTAGCAGTTGTACGGAGGGTGCTGGACCGAGGGGAGTTGGGAGCAGGTATCATGGCGTGGGCTGGGCCTAGGGATCCTAGAAGGAATCACGGGGCTGCCCTCACCTGACTCTCTCCACAGGTACTACCTCCATCCTGAGCTGCCGACCCTTGAAGGGAGAGCCTGGGGTGGGCTTTGAGGAGCCTGGTGAGAACTGTGCACCTCCCCGGGAGGAGCAGCCTCCTCCAGTGCTGCTCTCTCCATCCCTTCAGTATGCTGGGGCAGAGACCCTGGCCTCCAAAGTGCAGTGAGTACTGACAGGAGAGCTCTGAGGTCTCAGATTTAGAAGGGGCCCAGAGATTTGGGGTGCTTAGGATTCTGCACCCCTTTTCCCCACACTGGTAGACCAGGCTAGCCTCAAACTCAGACATCCCCTAACACTTTAGCTAGGGGAGCCTTCCCCTATCACACCTGCCTCTGCCTTCTGAGTGCTGGGATTAAAGGTTGCACCACCACCCAAATGGTTGTTTTGTTTGTTTTAAAATTTTTTATGTGTGTGGGTGTTTTACCTGCATGTAAGTCTGTGCAGCATGTGGTTACAGTGCCTGCAGAGGCCAGGAGAAGGCATCAAGTCCTCTGGAACTGGAGTTACAGGCAGTTGTGAGCTGCCGTGTGGGTGCTGGGAATCGAACCAGGATTCTATAGAATAACCTGTGCTCTTAAACACTGAACCATTTCTCCAACAGCCTACCTCCCCACCTACCGTGTGTGTGTGTTTTGTTTGTTTTGTTTTGAGACAGGGTTTCTCTGTGTAGCCCTGGCTGTCCTGGAACTCACTCCTCTGACGACCAGGTTGCCTCGAACTCAGAGATCGCTTGCTTCTGCCTCCTGAGTGCTGGGATTAAAGATGTAACCCATCACCATTTTGTTGTTTATTTTTGTTTGTGGTTTTTTTGTTTGTTTGTTTGTTTTGTTTTCCTGAGAAAGTATTTCTTCGTCTAACAGCTCTGGCTGTTCTGAAACCTGTTTTGTAGACCGGGTTGGCCTAGAACTCCCAGAGATCCTCCTGCCTCTGCCTCCCAAGTGCTGGGATTAAAGGTGTGCACTAACTACCACTGCCCAGTTGTTTTGTGTATTTGTTTGTTTGTTTGTTTTTTGGAAAACCGGGGTGGGGGGGAAATAGCCCAACCTGGTCTCAAACTTGTGCTTGGTATGTATCTGAGCTGGTCTTGGACACCTGCTTCTTCTGCCTCCACTTACATCCTGAGTGCTGGGATTGGAAGAGTGCATTACTTAAGCCTGGTTTTCCTGGACTATATATACGTCATAGTCTTTTTGAGTGTCCTAGCACTGCATAAACTGTGTTATAACACGCACCTGGAGTCCTAACACTAGGAGGCAGACGCAAAGAATCAGGATTTTCAGGTTACCTCCACCTTTATAGGGAGTTTGAGGCTAACCTGGGATAGAGACCCTGTTCTGTCCCAAAGCGTGGGTGAAGTAGATGAGAAGTGCACTTGGAGTGTCTAGAACAAACACGAAATAGAACCCCAGGGTAAACAAACCCATGAAGAGGGTCATTTGCTGAGCGGGACTTGGGAGGAGAGTCAAGTTGGTGCTAAGCCATTCATCGTTAACACCAAGGCCTGGGTTGGGAGAGCTTAGAAGCCTTACCCACCTCCTGTTTCTGCTTGTCTAACAGATTCCGGGACCCAAAATCCCAGCGGACACACCAGGCTCAGGTGGCCTTTCAGGTGTGTGTGCGCCCTGGCTCCTACACTCCTGGCCCTCCTTCCGCTGCCCTCAGAGAACTTCCTGACCAGCACTTCAGCCCATCGGAACTTGAGTGGGTCACTAAGGAGAAAGGAGCCACACTCCTCTATGCCCTGCTGGTACGGGTGGAATAAGGGGTGAGATGCCACTACTACAAGCACAGCTGGGCCTCAAGCAAGCCCAGGACTCTTGAATGACGACTGCCTCCACCTCATTCCAGTGACTGACGGCATGTCCAGGTGCTTTCCTGGAAGGAGGAGCACATAGACAGGCTTTGATTTAGGCCAGGTGTGAAGCACATCTCGACATTCAGGGCCCAGCACACTCCCTCTGCTGAGAGGGAGCTCGTAGGGAGCCCAGCTCCAGGTTCTGGGTCCCCCCTTCATGCACTGACTTGGGGAACATGACTCCCTATTACCCTCCCCCATATCACTTAATTTATTTCCGTTTTTGTTCTGGTTACTGTGAATCCCAAAGGAGTCTCTGTGCCCACACAAAGCTGCTTTTTCCGTGGCCACGGGGTGCCATGGAGCGGGAGTGGGGAAGGAAGGGCAGCCCAAGGAAGCTGCGAGCCCTCTGTACAGTTGTTACTGACTGATTTCTAAGGAGCCAATAAATACTGTCTTCAAAACATCTGCCTCTGTCTCCCGTGGCCTCGTGAGGTGAAGAGTTCCAGGGACTCTTTGCAAGAGGCCAGCTTTTCCCAGGCCTCTGTAAACCCACGGGAATTTGGACAACCCGGCACCCGTCTTAGCGCTTCCGCCTTCCTTCTTATCCAACCCGCTGAGCCAGTTGCCGTCATGACCCGGAAGGATTTATACTGGGCGCCGGATGTGATGTAGGGATCAAGGCGCGTCGGAGGCCACGGAGAAAGCGCCGAGAAGGCGGGTAGGGGGGGTTGGCGCCAGGGCTGCGCGGGCGGGGCGGGGGCGCAAAGCCTAGGACCCCCTCACGCGCACTGAGGCTGAGGCCCGGAGGGACGCTGGCGCCCGGGACACGTGACCGAAGCGGCAAGCGGGCGGCGGACAGGCAGGCTTCCGCCTTGGCGGGTCGCAGTCCCTCTAAGTTCCCACTTCCCTGCAGGCCCCGCCTGAGGTCTGGCAGTCAGTGGCAGAGCCGGGCGCCCACTGCCCAAGCGTCATCAACAGCACCATGCCCGCACTACTGGAGCGCCCCAAACTTTCCAACGCCATGGCCAGGGCTCTGCACCGGCACATCATGATGGAGCGGGAGCGCAAACGGCAGGGTGAGCCAGGGCCAGAGCGGGAGGACAGACACACGGCCCAGGGTGGCTCTGCTACCCAGGAACTTGGTCCCATCCACGGGCCAAGCTGTGCGCCTGCTGGCGAGGCTAAGAGGGAGGCCGCGGCTCCTTCAGGGTGTGAGCGAAGAGGCCCCGTCTAAGTTCCAGAACCCTGGGCTGGGAAGGACCTTGGAGAGCACCTAATGAAACCTCGTTCTCCTTATGGCTGATGGAATAACTGGTTTTTGCTGGTCTCCAGTCTAACACTCAGCTTATTTTCACTGTCCTGCCACTTTCCCGTTCTGTCTGATTCTTCAGAGGAGGAAGAGGTCGACAAGATGATGGAACAGAAGATGAAAGAAGAGCAGGAGAGAAGAAAGAAAAAGGAGATGGAAGAGAGAATGTCACTAGAAGAGACCAAGGAACAAGTGAGTAACCCCTCATCACTCCAAGTTCTGGTTTCTTCTCTTTCCTTTTCCCCCTTATCTGCTCATCTTTCTTGCAGATTCTGAAGCTGCAGGAGAAGCTCTCAGCTCTACAGGAGGAGAAGCACCAACTTTTCTTGCAGCTCAAAAAAGTTTTGCATGAGGAAGAAAAACGGAGACGAAAGGAGCAGAGGTGTGGTCAGATAGCTAAAACTAACATTTTGCAGTGGACCAGGCGACAAAGGAGGGCTACTTAACTGTCTTCCTTTCCTCCAGTGACCTGACCACTCTGACATCAGCTGCATACCAGCAGAGCCTGACTGTTCACACAGGAACCCACCTCCTCAGCATGCAGGGTGAGGACTAGAGAAACCACCCGAAAGAATGGCTCTCCTGGAGGTTGCAGCCTCCTAATTCAGCATCATGAAGCCCCTCTCCCTTTCTAGGGAGCCCTGGAGGACACAATCGCCCAGGTACTCTCATGGCAGCTGACAGAGCCAAGCAGATGTTTGGACCCCAAGTGCTTACGGTGAGAAGTCTAAAGACAAGCTTCTTATAAGTTCAGGCTGACTTTCAAGTCACTATGTAGCCAAGAATGGCCTTGCCATGTGATCCTGTTGCCATGTCTCCTCTACCTTCTATGTATGTCATCAAGCCCAGCTTGATATATTTGGATGTGTAGCCCCAGTTGCTTTCTCCATCACTAAAGTACAAACATACCAAGCCTGTAATAAGTAGGAGCTAAGTAGTTTTTTGTTTTCCTTGTTTTCCTTCTTAGACCCGGCACTATGTGGGATCAGCAGCTGCTTTTGCAGGGACCCCAGAACATGGGCAATTCCAAGGCAGCCCAGGAGGAGCCTATGGAACTGCTCAGCCCCCACCTCACTATGGGCCTACACAACCAGCCTATAGTCCTAGCCAACAGCTCAGAGGTGAGTGTTGATTCTCTTCAGAGCAGAGGGAAGAACAGCTCAACATGAGAACTAATGGATGTCTACCTTTCTCAGCACCCTCAGCATTTCCTGCCGTGCAGTACCTGTCTCAGCCACAGCCACAGCCCTATGCAGTGCATGGCCACTTTCAGCCCACTCAGACAGGTGACAACCCATGGGGAGGAGGCCTAGCCTCTTGAGTCCTATCATTACCTGTTCAGTTCAAACCCCCCTTCTCCCCTTAGGGTTCCTGCAGCCTGGTGGTGCCCTGTCTTTGCAAAAGCAGATGGAACATGCAAATCAGCAAACTAGCTTCTCTGACTCAGTGAGTATGGAGCCTTGAGAAGTCAAGGTGCTAGGACAAGGGGAACTCCAGTATGCCTAAGGTCAGCTTTGTCCTTACAGTCTTCTCTGCGGCCCATGCATCCTCAAGCTCTGCATCCAGCCCCTGGACTCCTGGCTTCCCCCCAGCTCCCTGTGCAGATGCAAGCAGCAGGAAAGGTAAGGCTGGTAACCAAAAATCTGATACTATCAGGGACAAACTGTTAACCTCCTACTGCAATTGTCCCTTCCTCCTTGTACTGAGTGTTAAGTGAGTTAAGAAGTTATCTACCCACTGATAAAAACTTTTATCACCAGTCAGGCTTTGCTACTACCAGCCAACCTGGCCCTCGACTCCCTTTCATCCAACACAGCCAGAACCCACGATTCTACCACAAGTAACCACCAGATAACTCCTCCATCCCTCAAGGTGGGGGTTCTTCCTATGTGCCCCAAACCAATAAAATGTACCCACTATCACCCTGACTACTGTTTGTTTGCTTCCCACCCAGGCTACTTAAGAAGTGGATGAAGGATTGCTAATAGTAGCAGTCTTATTTTTAGATTCTAAAAGCATCTTTCAATCAACAAATAAACAACAGAGTTGGGGGTTTCATATTAAACTTGTAGTTTTATTCAGGTTTGATTTTTAACAAATGTGTCAGGGAGAGTCGCAGGAAAGGGTAAAGCCCATGGGGGCAAGGTCCTCCCAGATGCCTGAGGAGGGATCATGTCTGCCCCCCCCAACTCTTCTCATTACCCCTAAAGGGGCTTAGGGAAGAGACACAGGCAGGGAAGGGGGCTGGTTCCCCAGTCTGTACAAGTGGTGCTTGGGGTGAAGGACTATGGAAAGCAGGGGACCAGACCAGGGATAAGTGGAATAAAGGACACAAGACCATTTGCCAGAATCCACAGCTTTCTGATTCCAATTGAATTAAAAAGAAAATAAGGGAGGTGGGGGGGACCAAACCACAAGCAATACCCAACTCCCTTTCCCCCACCAGGGCTGTGAGGGCAGAGGCAGGTAGCTTCACCAAGGCCATGGCTCCCTCATTCCTGGCCAAGGGAGCTAGGTGAAGGGCAGGGTCTCCCCGACAGTTTGAAGGGGTGAGGAAAACCAAAATAAAACGTCAAATAAATTGTATAGGAGTCCAGCCAAGGGCCCAGCCAGAGCAGAACCCAGCTGGGGGAAGGGCCTCTGTAGGCTCAAGGATCACTGCTGCCACCACCGCCACCCTGGGCAAGAAAAAGAAATCATGTTTAAAGACAATTTCAAGAGAAAGGGTAAGGGAGGAAGGACCACTCTAGAACAGAAAGAAAGCCCATTAGAACTGATGAGGATAACAGTATGAATGGATGGTGAAGGCTGTCTCACACTCACCTGCGAGCCAGTTATTTTGCCATGGCCTTGATTGCAACAGCTGCCTCCTCTGTCATGGCAGACAGCACCGTGATCTGGAAAAGCAAAAAGGACAGTCCAGAGATGCCTTAACTCAAAGAGTTTTGAAGCATAAGGAGCAAAGCCGAGTATATCAGGCGAGGAGGGGGGCATCATACCAGGATCTCTTCTCCACAGTCATACTTCTGCTCAATCTCCTTGCCAAGGTCTCCCTCAGGCAGACGAAGGTCCTCTCGTACCTCCCCACTGTCCTGGAGCAGGGATAGGTACCCATCCTGGATGCCAATCAGCTGGGAGAAGAAGGAAGTTAAAAGCAGGTACAGGTAGGTTAAGTATAAAGAGAATGACAGACAAACTAGAGTCACAGCAACTTCACTAAGTCCCTTCTACCAGCTCCCTTTCCCCACAGCTGCGGGTCAGCACACATCCCACCCTCCATGAGCCACTAACCATCTTCATCCCAAAAACATACCTGGAAATCATTCCTTTTGATATTGGGGACATCCATATTGTGAGTTGACGGGCAGATATCTTCATATTTCTTCCCAGTAAAAATGTCAATACCAACCAGATGGACCTGTGTACATATATCATAAAGAGAAACCCAACAAATCAAACTCTAAAGGCCTTTATTACTGGCTGGTGGCAAGTCAGCCTGCCATGTTACAGCAAAAATTAAGGAACTAGAAATGAGCCAATTGAGAAAGACAAAGCCTTAAAGTCTGAAGCTAAAGAGCACTACTACTGAGATTGGAGATGACAAAGAAAAACTGTTAAAACCAGTGACATGAAAGTTCTCAAAAATCATTGACAAAGACTGGAGATGTCACGCAGTTGATACACTTGCCAGCAGGCACAGGGCCTTCCTTGGGGGGGTTGGGGAGGTCGAGGCCACTCTAGAATTCATAAGATGCTGTTTTATTGTATTGGGGGGGGTCCTAGGTAAATGTTTCTTGGACATTTACAGAAGCAGCTAAATAAGACATGTAGAACAGACTGAGAAATGAAAGCAAAGAAAGGTTAAGTGATCTGAAGAAAATGACCCAGGGGAAAAGATCAGAATGAACCATGTATGAAGTCAGTATGTAAGAACAGCCTGGTTCTAAATGCCCAATCCACAACAGGGGACTCGCTAGCAAATAAAAAACCAGACTCAACAGGATTGAGTTAGGGTCAACTTTAGACACAGCATGTCTAGGTAAGAGAATGTGAAGACTGAAGCTGGAGAACAAAGAATTCAGTGGGTAATCAGAAGCAGGTAACTGCCAAAGGGAAATTCACAACTGGGAGGAGCAGCAGCTGCTAGGCAGCTT